TTTAGCAAGCAAGAGAAAACAAGGAGGCAACTATTTTAATCACACATATTACACTTGTGAAATGGAGGAAGAAATTGATCCATGAACTGTGTACTGTAAAGTTCCTGTCAAGCTCTGACAAAGTCACATACATCAATAGTCTTTTCTGATCCTTACTTTAAGAAACGGCAGACGAATCTCCTGTTCTAAGCGTGTAGATTACTATAGCACTCGTCAGAAATATGACAGGAACACAGCACAAGGCGGGGCCTATAAGGCTGAGGTATTTTTGCAATGATAAACTTCAACCACTGACTCTTCACAGCCTTATCTTTGGGCAGGGAAAATAACACTAACTTTCCCTCACACTTTAGAGCTCAGCGTGATCTTGATTCATCCGGGATCTACTACATTGTTTGTCTTCTTCTTTTTCTTTCTACAGTGTTTGTAGGCGGGGACAGGGGTTCCAATTTTCCCAGGTCTGTGTGCACAACAAATGGGTGGGGCTTAAGTTCTGCATTGATGTCACACCGACTAGGCTAAAGATTTGTTATAGCAGCAACTAATTTAAACCACTCTGAGTCGACTCTTTTATAGTTGAATCAATAGTTTTAAACACGGCACACTTTCAGATTTAAGTCTTAGCTGGATTTTTCACTTCACTTAGAGCTGAGTTGGAAGGTAATTTTCAAAAACCCATAATAGGGATTCTTTAAATTGTAAATAAATATGTGTTTTTGAAACTAATTAAGGCAGCCTAAGTTGATGATTCATTTGAACTATTTAGCCTGACATGTTTACTGTTCCTAAATGTTACAATTGATTCTCAAAATAAAACATATTGTGTTCAAAGGGGAAAATTTGCAGTTTTTTACCTAGACATTTTAAAAGAACATATTTTTGAGCAGTAATCACAATACCGTGAAACCGTGATATTTTTATCCAAGGCTATCATAACGTCAGAATCTTATACCGGCACATGCTTACTCATGAACACATTAACCAAGACAGCTATAAAAACGAATCTATTTAAAGACTATTTTGTTCATTTGACTCTCTCTCTCTAATCTCTCTCTCTCTCTCTAATGGATTGGATTAATGGCTTGTCTATCTCTTTTTGAACAGTAAATTATGCTCAGACAGGCATCTCATGTCTAAAGATGCATAAACACAAATAGAACATTGCTGCATTTGCAAGTAAATCATATAAAGCAGATTCTCTGGTGGGGCAGAAAAAATGATAATAAAGAGAAGCAAAATGATATTAGCGAAAAGACAGTTCCATGCCAAGTTATGCTCTCTATAAAGGTCTATTCTAGGTTTATTCTATAAAGGTCTGCTACCTTTTTATCCAAACATAAAATAAAATATCGTTATTGAAAGCTATTTGTCCTCAGAAAATGACAGTTGGTCAAGATAACAAATGCTTTTATTTGTAACATTTTCTTACTGTTAAAGGTTGTCAACTGAATAAAATTGTTGATTATATCTCAATACTTAATCAGGATTCATGAAGCAAAATGCCACTATGAAAATGTAAACACGGCTAATTGTGCAAAATTATTGCTTTACTTCATTGTTACTGATGAATATTCAGGAATTATTTTCTCTCATAAACAGATTAACCAAGACAGCTGTAAAAGCAAATTGATTAAAACACCATTTTGTTCAGTTTTCTCTCTCCATAATGGATAGGATAAATGGCTTGTATCTCCATTTGAACGGTAAATTATGCTCAGACAGGCATTGCATGTCTGAAGATGCAAAGACACAAACAGAACATTGCTGCATTTGCAAGTAAATCATATACAGCAGTTTCTCTGGTGAGGCAGAATAAAATAATAAAGAGAAGCAAAATGATATTAGCGAAAGGACAGTTCAAAGGCAAAGTTATGCTCTCATATTTACAGTTGCAAGTGGCTAAAAGAAGTAGAGAAATGCAAATGTTGTGGCAGTGAAGAATCACAGTGTAATTTGCTAGCCTAAATCAATGAAGGTTTGTACGCAATCAGCCGGCTGCATTAAAGCAAGTGATTATCTATAATAGGGTCTTGGATCCCAAAAGCCATCTTTATAAAGCTTATGCGATCACATCCAAAGCAAACACTAATAACTGTACCTCGAATGGGCCATAAATTTTTAAAGGGTGAACTCAGCTTGTACTGGGCCAGATATTTTACAACTATCACTCGGCCAGGTATTGAAGATCTCTAACCTGCGGTATTAACAAGGACCTTATCAACATCAATTACATTCTCCAGCATGCCAGCGGGGAGAGAGCGAAATACAAAGAGGATGGAGGAATACACTTTAAGACTGATACGAGACGAGCTGGAGCAAGAAGGTTTTAATGTCTTCTATAAATCAGATTACACACTCGGTTAGAAACGGAAAGAAAAAGAGAGGCGTGTTTTTGCAATGGCCACAGTTCAGTAATCTGCAGTGCTGAGCACCAGCTTGCTAATGAGAAGAAAACCACAAACAGAATATGCAAGCCAAGCTCTGAAACGAGAGGTTATATTTAGACGGTTAGGAGAGACTGCATTAACAGCCTCACACTCCTCTCGCAATATCTATTCCTCATCTGAGGAGGATTTACTCTAGTGTGCTTATAAGAGATGGTGTTCTGTTTATAGACAACCAAAGACACGACTGATCCAAGCTACAGTTCCAGAACAATGATTTAATAAAAATCTCTGAATGCTGTTTTTATGGGATTTTCTATTGACAAAACTAGAACAAGTGGATTTTTTAAGGGGCAAGTGAAGGATATTTTTCCTGACTGAGAGGACAAACAGCCTGCAATGAGAAGTAAAAAAAAAAATTCCGCAAGTATAATTTAGATTTTATTATATTCAGTGTAAATGGCGACTGATAATGAATAATGTATTGGCAGTAACAAGGTCGCATCAGTTGAAGCTCACACAGCCTGTTTTGTTTGAGGCAAAGACTTGTGGAGAAATCACAAAACAAACACAACCAAGTGTTATAAAAAATGTGAAAGTTTGTGAAGATTAAGTATAATAAGCAATGCCACACGAGAGACCTTCTTTGTTGAATTCTTGAATTACACATTGATTTTATACAACTGTTTAATGTACAAGTAGTTATTATTAAGAGACCCACATTTAAAAAATTTGTTACAAACAAAAATCACACCAAATGCATCATGCATCTCCACATGATTTAGTGTTTATATATACAGTTGAATTATTAGCCCCCATTTGAATGTATTTTTTAAATACTTCCCAAATTATATTTAACAGAGCAAAGAAATTTTCACAGTATGTCTGACAGTATTTTTTCTTCTGGAGAAAGTCTTATTTGTTTTATTTTGACTATATAAAAGCAGTTTTTAATTGTTTTAAAAGACATTTTAAGATCATTATTATTAGCCCCTTTACGCTATATTTTGTTTTGATAGTCTACACAGAACAAACAATCTGTATACAATAACTTGACTAATTACCCTAACCTGCCTAATTAACCTAGTTAAGCCTTTAAATGTCACTTTAAGCTGTATTGAAGTGTCTTGAAAAAATATCTAGTAAAATATTATTCACTGTCATCATGGCAAAGTTCAAATAAATCAGTTGAGTAATGATCAAATGAGTATTAAAACTATTATGTTTAGACATAAGTTGAGAAAATATTCACTCCGTTAAACAGAAATTGGGAAAAAAATAAACAGAGGGGCTAATAATTCTGGGGGGCTATATCGGATGATTCAATGATTTAAACAATAATTTAGGGATTTGCTCATTCTTGAATGAATCAGCCATTTGAATGAAATGCTTAAATAAATGACTCAAAAATTGGCTCAACAAGACTTTTCAGCTCCAACTAGGGATTTAGTTGTATGCGTCAAAGCATCACTGCATTTCATACAGTATGTCCAACATGAGTGAAATGGTCATCAGCTACATCTGTGTGATTACTTTGTGATTGTTTTCAAGAATGTCGATAGATAGATTAACCACCTAAGAACCATCTTGTATTTAGTTGATAAAAACATTGAAAATATAATTTAGAATAATTTCGTAATGTACATGGTATTCAATAACTGTGAAAAGATATCAGAATGTCATTTAATTTCTGTGCTGGAAAAGTGATTACCTATTTACTTAAAAGTGAGAAAACCCAGTGCCTTAAAAATGTCAAGTTTAGTTTACTTAAAAAAAAAAAGTGAGCTTAACTCAATTTCATCATTTACTTAATTTTTTTAAAGGGATAACTCACTAAAAAATGAACCCTCTGGCATCGTTTATTTATTCTTTAATTGTTACAAACTTTTTTCTTCATAACTTTCTTTCTTCTTTCAAACACAAAATATATTTTAAAGAAATAACCAACCTGTAACCATTTACTTCCTTAGAAGAAAAAACTAATACTATGAAAGTCAATGATTACAGGTTTTCAGCTTTCTTCAAAATATCTACTTTAGTGTTTAACATAATAAAGAAACTCCGAAAAGTTTGAAACCACTTAAGGGTGAGTAATAGTAAGTATATTTATATTTTTTGGGTGAACTATTCTTTAAAGGCAACAGGTTTACACACTCTTTTGTAGTCGAATCCTCATACTACAGTCTCAGAAATAAAGGTATGCGAGCTGTCACTGGGGTGGTACCCTTTCAAAAGGTACAGATTTGTACTTAAAAGGTCCATATTAATATCACAAAGGTGCATATTAGTGCCTAAAACGTACAAAAGTGTTCCTCTTTTAGGCAATAATATAAATGTATGAATTCCCAATATGGCCCATTAAGTACAAATGTGTACCTTTTGAAAACCCCAGTGACAGCTCGCATACCTTTATTTCTAAAAGTGTACTACCTTTTACAGTGTGTGTTAATTAAAACTGCCCTTCAAGGCAAAAAAATCCCTATACCTTAATAAAAAAAATTATCACAAATATACTTACGTAAAAACATGTTTTACTTAGATAAGTGTACAACTGATTTACTTCACAAACATGTCAAGGTTTAATGTCAAGCCCTGTTTTAGTTTTTGCACACTAACCTTCTTGGTGAAGTCCATGGCTTTGAGAATGGCCAGGTTGAGTGTCTCTAAGGAGGCCAGCACTCCTTCATAATCCCCCATGTGGTTGGCAAAGTAGTCTGATAAACAGAAATGAAAAAGGACATTATCAAGCAATATAAATTCTGCGATTTCACAAGCTTTGAAAACTGAAAATATGGAAGTTATACTGGCAAAAAAAAAAGCTCCAACAGAAAAATCAAATCCTCCCCAAAAAGCCTGGTACAAACATCAGTACAGAAAAGACAAAATCTATAAAAAAAAATAAAAATAAAAAAAAACATCCTGTAAAACAAGTGAACAGATATTTTTTTCTGATACTCACCGCACAGTTCCTTGGTGTCAACATTACTAACACATCACAGGAAATGGACAGCGTACAGAAAGACAGGAAAGAAGAGGCAGGAGAAGAAAGGCATAAGAAACAAGGGAAAACCCATCACAACTCACACATTACATCTGTGTCTTACAACAGCGTGCATACAGGATCTCTGTCTTATCATCTATTTACATGGATCCTCAAGACAATACAAAATAAACCTTTAGAAATTGTGCTATGTGAACCAGAACCACAGAATCCCTCAAAGCCATCAGCTTCAAGAACATTAATAAATCAGCCTGTTTAACATTGATCTGGTCTTCATGAATGAAAAGAAGCATATACGGGTTATTTTAAAGTGATTTCTGATGTATAGTTTGCTCAGAGATGAAAATCTTGTCATTTATGTATTACAAACTACACTCAAAAACTGATTTTTGCTGATTGTTCAAATTACTTATTTAAAATGAGCTAAAACAACCAAATTCTGGAGATTTTTTGGGAAACTTAATAGTTTTATGTTTAATCCACTTACATTTGTTACATTAACTTAATCGATTTGTGTTGTGACAACATGAATGAATTGTGCTGAAATCTATTTAAGATAATTTGAACAATATTGGAAACTGGTAGCCATCAACGACTATAGCATATCCATGAAAGCCAATGGTTTCCAACATTATTCAAAAAATCTTATTTTGTAATCAAATAAAATAAAAAAACTCTAAAATTTTTATAATCACTTGAGGATGAGTAAATGGTGCATGAATTTAGCTTTGTGCATGAACTATTCATTTAAAAATCAACATTTTTTTCCAAACATGATCTCAAATATGAGCTCAAGTGTTATAATATGATAATGTGCTTTGTAATTTGCACTGCTGCCAGTTCTTTTGATATAAATTTTCATATTTTTCAGTTTACATCTATCAAGTTTTAGCATATAATGTTAGCTCCTCCTGTTGCCCTTTCAGAGATTTGTCCCATCTTTCTCCATCTCTTTCTGCTCTTGCACTTTTCAGCTCTTTATGCTTTCCCTCACTTGGTAAAATGAAGGTGTCATCAGCAGAGGGAGGCACAAAGAAAATATACAGTACAGAATGACATTTACAGGCGAACGATGGGCACAGAGAGTGAACATGGCTAACAATCCAGCCTTTTTTTGAATGGCACTGAGCTCTTAGTGCTTGTCCTGTCAAATAAAGAGTACAGTATGTCCATCTTAGAAGAGGACAGAAGAGATGAGTAGAATTGTTGTGTATAATACTAGTCTTTTTGTTTGTGGTATATCCCATCTATATCCATTAACACTGTGCTAAATAAGCTATAAGCTTATACACCCCTCACAAATCTATCTTTTAAATTCACACTTTAATAGGAAGCTATATACAATATTATATTTGTGGATACATTAGATTAGTCAGTACTGAAGCCAAATCTGGAGCTTATCTAACAAAATAACTGATGATTATGGTCAAAAAACTAGTACAGCCAAATATATTATAGATAATATAATAATATATATGTTAGAAAAATATTAAATACAAATTTAAAAAGAGGAAAAATCAAGAGAAGCAAAAAAAAAAAAAGTGAAAAATTTTGTTGAAAATTTGTAGGTTGTTTTTTTTTTTTTTTTGCAATTTTTTGCTTGAATTTAATTGTATTATCTTTCAATTTTTAAATATGTTTGGCGACTAAAACATAATTTTGATAAATATATCTGTTAAATAAATCTGTTTAGTTTAAATACACCAAAATACATTGCCTATATTCACTGAGAAATGTTTAAAATATCTATTTTCAAATGGGGTGCACTCAATTATGCGGAGCAGCGAGCACTAGCTAAAAAAGCTATACACGCAATAAGATCATCTTCATAAGTGCCTTTATTTCTAACATTTCATTTTGTGGGGTGGATTATTCATCTAACAATTATCCTTTGGCTTAAAAAAATAGCATATCGTCACATTTGAAATACTTTTAATATTGAGAAAATGCACTTATTCCATTGTTGCACCCCCAATATTTAAAAGACGTTCGATATATATACAATTTAAATCAACATTATACAATATAATATAAAATAGACTTTGTTTGGTATAATGTCTTAATTTAGCTTTGATTAATGTATATTAAAAATTTAGTTCATTTAAAGTTATCTTGTTACCTCAGGTAAAATACTCTGCTTTCTATAAGCAACAAAGCTTCACTGAATACGTCTAATGTAAAACAACTAAAATCTAAAGTAAAACTAACTAGATTATTCTAATTTATCCAAACAAACAAAGCCAAATCAAACATCCAAGAAAGTACACACTTAGACAATAATGACAGTGCACTAAACATGAATTAACTAACATATTTTAGCCATTAAATTGTTTGGTAGTAATTTCTGTTAAGGCATTAAATTCACCAAAAAAAGTTCACAGTCATGCTTGCACCTCTTAATTCATTATCAAGGGCACAGCTGAGATAATTGACCGTAATTAACATTATTACCTACTGGTATTCATTTGAATAATACTGTTATTACTTTTACACAATCAACATGTCTTTTTCCCATGATATATTTTTTTTCTAGTTGAATATCATTATCTATAAAGAAACAAGAAAAATTAAGAAATACAATGATTTGCAAACAGAAATAAAATTTAACTTAATTAACATTGATTTAATAAGCAATTATGGATGGCTTGATATTTGACCAATTATATTATAAAGTAAACAAGTTTACTTGACTGGAGGATAAATAACTAAAATATAGATTTCTATGATATCTGCATGTGGTTAGAATGCTGCTGTAGTAATGTTTGTAAACATCAGCGTGACATTCACATAAATGGAGGACAGAAGAGAAAACATGACTGTCTAAATGAAATGGTGTAAATGAGCAACATGCACAATCTATTGTTCTGTACTCATTGTGATGAGTGCTTATGTAAGAGGAATAAAATATGCCCATGAGTGCAATCTAAACAAGTACAAGGACACATTCATCTCATAACTTTGGGATAGAAAAAGCACAGACACTTGACAAGGATGAATCTTTCTAGCTTCATGCAGTTTATCAAATGATGTATACTTTAATTTAAGAATGTGCACATTTGTTAACATACACATAAAATACTTTGGGCGTTAATAAGCTTAGCTTTAGCTTGTCATAGTCTCAACTGAAAAAAAAACTGGTTTGTGAGGCACTTTTTGGAGCTGCTTTGACCTAATGGTTAGTGAGTTTGATTGTGATTCAAAGTTCGCAGATTCGCATCCAGGTACTGTAAGGCCGTACTCACACTATGTACAGTTGCCTCGAACTGGGCCAAAGCACGCTTGTACCCCCTCCCGACGGCCAGCACTCACACTACAATCGGGCCTGGGCACGCTTACGTCATCGTTGCTGCACTGTTCAGTAAGCGCTCTCGCTCAGCACAGTGGAGAGTTCTCCAGTTATAACATTTCAGTCGTTTGATATGCAGTGACATGCAGTCAAATATTTCGCCAAACAGTCCTTAGGGATGCGGTGATACTGGTCTGCTGAAGGTGCACAGCTGTGGTGCAGTGAGGGGTTTGCGTCTTTAATAATTTAGGGCAGTTTGTGTTCATTGAACAGTAAGAATGATTAATAAATCCATATGAAACAGTCCCTTAAAGTCACGTCTCGCTTTCAGTTTTGGGCTTTGGCGCGTTTAGCACTCACACTACAAACGTATTGCCCAAGTGAACCACGCTCAGGCCCACCTCTTTCAACCGGGCCAGGACAAGCCAAGTAAACCGTGCCTGAGTCCGATTCAGCGCACTCTCAAACGATCCGGGAAACGGGCCTGGGCACGGTTCGGATAGCATAGTGTGAGTAGGCCCTAAGTGGGGTGAGTGAATAACCAGCACTCTCTTATGCTGGGTTCACACCAAATGAAAAACACTGTGTCACTTGCTCTAGTTTACTCACAGGATGTTTTTCACCTCAAGAGAATTTTCTGCTAAAGTTGAATTATTTAGCTAATTCCGTGTCATTTTCACTACAAGAAAACTAAATAAATTTGTATTTGCGTGCTTGCATTTATGTTATACAATATGTGATATGTAACCTACCTACTATAACAACACTTAAAGGTCCCATGGAATTAAAATAAGGTTTTTAGATGTTAGTATCAGTATTATTAATTTCTTAGAATATCTAAAAGCTAGCTAGTGTGCTCTAAAATAGTGACAAAATTCACATTCAAAAGATATAAAACTGATATAAACATGTAAAGCTTGTAGTTTGTAACTTTTGCCTAAATGAAACAATAGTTTTATTCACATCACCACATACTTTAGTTTCTCATCACATCATAACCAGTCCAATGCTCGCTAGTATCTGACATGCCCCGCCCCCTTCATGACGCTTCTTATTTGCTTTTCATTTGATGCACTGGAGCTCAACCACTCTCACTGGCAGAGCAGTGATAAAACAATGGCTGTTTTTGGGGGGAGGAGCTACACAATGTCCCACCCTCTCATTGTGTTCAAGTTAAAATTACATCAAACATCGAATAAAAATGCATATTTTGAATTACTTCACAGGCCCTTTGATTCTGATTTTGGTGTAAACCAAGCATTACACCCTCAGCACCACTGCTGAGATGAGACCCATGGGCAAAGCACCAAATCCCAAACTGCTTCCTGAGTAGGCCACCGCTCCGAGTGTTTAATCACAGTCTGTACGAATCGCCTTGAAAAACACTTAATGTGATGTTAGTGTCATGTGAGGGACGCTGACAACAAAGTTGCGGACCCAAATTCAGGATTTATTAAGAGATATCAGAAAGGCAATGATCATCGGTTACAAAAAAATCCAAAAGAATGATTAAGAGAAAAGTGATCGATCCGGGCAGCAAACAACGTAAAACAAACAAACAAAGCAAAGGTCAATACACAGGAAGGCAAAACGCACTAAAGTGTGTGTGCTGTTTATGAAGTCCATCTAATCAGTTCATGAGAAGCTCCCAGCCGTGTATGTGTGTGTGTGTGTGTGCGTGCGTGTAATCAACAAAGAAC